CATACATCTTCAAGTATGTCAAGTGTCGCAAATAGAGTCAGAAAACAGAGTCTCCAATCATGGTAGATGTACCGGTACACTGGACAGAACCGTCACCACCCTTCAGCTGTAGGCATGGATTGTTTTGGTCCAACTATAAGTAAAGATGGGCGGAAAGAGCTCAAAAGGTATGGACTCCTACTTACATGTGTCAGGATCCCAGTTTTTGTGTTCGTCTGTCTGTCTTGTCTTTTGTGTTTCTCCCTTCCACCACCAGGAGGCGCCTGGCTCTGTTTCGCCTCCTCACACACCTGCAAGCTGTTGCCTCATCACCGGACTGCTCTGAAGCTGCTGGTTGCCACTACTTCGACGGCAGAGTGTTTGCCAGTTTGGGGTACTCTTGTCAAGCCTTGTTAATGCTGAGTCTAATCTGAGTTTTAGCATTTTGAGTTTTTGTCCTCTAGCCAAGCTGAGATCACTTTGAGTTTTACTGAGCGCTTGTTTCTCCCTGAGTCTCAACTTTGTTTGTTCTTTGCCTTTCAGAAGGAAGCCTTCCTGCAAACTGGACCTTTCCTGACCGCCTTCTCCCAAGTGGGATCAACTGAGTCTTACACTGAGCGACGGATTCCAAACAGGAGGTTTGGATCCAGCCACCTTTGAGCACGCTGAGATCTCTCTCTGAGTAAGGAAGCCATCTTCACCACGACCCGTTCAAGTACCACAGGAAAACTGAGTTGCAACCAGCGGCTGCATCATTCCACTCCGTCCGAGTTCCGGGTAAACCCTGTTCCGCCCTCCACCGAATCAAACAAACCCTGGAAGACCAACACACAGACTGGAGTCTACGTGTCTCTTCTTCTCTCCTTCAAAATTAACAACTCGGATTCCCCACTGAGCCTGAATCTAACTGTCTGTCTTCCCCTCGTCTTTCAGTTTTCTGGCCAAGCAGAGTTCGGAGGAACTCTGCCCTGAACTCTAAATACCTTTCAATAAAACCCGTTCAAACCTTTACTCTGTGTCTCTGTTTGGCTTCACTGCATGTGGGTCCAAACTTTAGATAAAATCATGACAACATGTCTGTGTTGACGAGCCGTACACATTGAAGCAGTAGACGATCTAAGCACAGACCCGTTTCTCAATGTTCTGTGAGCATTTATTGCAATCAGAGGTAATATTCAGCAAATAAGATGAGACAGAAGAACCAGTTTTGTTGGTGCATTTGATAATCTCTTAGAGAATATGGATCAGGAAAAGGTGAAAGTACTAGGATGTGAATTTGTCATGAACCCCCCATCAGCTAGTCACATGGGCTGATGGGGGGTGTTTATTTACTGCCCTGAAATCTGCTGCTTGTCAGCTGGGACAGAAGGACTGGAATCTCTGTAGAGGTAGAAACTGCGTTTAATGACCACAAAACTCTGAAAGGGAACGATAGCGAGCATGTGAGTCACTAACCTGTAACAGAGGCAGTGGAAACAGTCAGGACACGTCTTCAACAAGAAAGTGCCTTAAACAACAGGACTAATTTCACTCCGGACCAGATCGGCACACTACTGGGCCTTTGTCTTTCCACAACCTATTTCTGTCAGGATTCGGGGCTTTGCCCACCAGAGGGCGCCGTGGATCCATGCCTGGGGAGTTTGGGCTCAGCTTGGATCAGCTGTTTTCTATCTGCTAATTAAGGAAGCTCCCTATATAAGCTGAGTCTTCCCTCTGTGCATGATCGTTGTCTTACCTGTGCCACCATGCCTGTCTGAACCTGCATCTTGCAAGTCTGTCAACCGGTTCCAATAAATTCTGGACTTTTTATCCTCCCTCTGTGTCTGTGAGTCTGCATTTGGGCTAGTAAAACCATCGCATCATGACAGAACGATCCAGCCAACAGACTAGCCCAGCAGACTCCTCCTACGCGCTCCTGGAGAGCCCGCTCTGTGCCGTCTGGAGACCCCTGAGCCTGCTCTGCGTCTTCCAGAGACTCCGGATGTGGAGCCACAATCGGTGGATCCCTCTGTTCCTGAGGTGGAGCCACAGTTGGCGGCTTCCTCTGCTCTGGATGTGGAGCCGTAGTGGGCGGACCTGTTGCAGAGCAGCGGGAGCGGAGACGGCGTCCTTCTCGGGGCCTCTTGCTGAAGCGGAGACAGTGTTTCTCCCGGTGCTTCCTGCTGAAGCGGAGGTGACGCCCTCCTCCAAGGCCCCTGCAGCTTCTGAGACTCTGCTCTGCTGCCGGTTTCATGGCCGGCCACCTGAGACTCTTCCTGGGCGAGTTGTTTTTTTTTTTTCTTCTTTGGGGCGTCTGGAATCCGCCCTTGAGGGGGGGGTACTGTCAGGATCCGGGGCTTTGCCCACCAGAGGGCGCCGTGGATCCATGCCTGGGGAGTTTGGGCTCAGCTTGGATCAGCTGTTTTCTATCTGCTGATTAAGGAAGCTCCCTATATAAGCTGAGTCTGAACTTCCCTCTGTGCTGGATCGTTGTCTTACCTGTGCCACCATGCCTGTCTGAACCTGCATCTTGCAAGTCTGTCAACAGGTTCCAATAAATTCTGGACTTTTTATCCTCCCTCTGTGTCTGTGAGTCTGCATTTGGGCTAGTAAAACCATCGCATCATGACAATTTCAAATTCAGAGGTAATTTTTACAGACAGAAGCATGGCTGCGCAATGGGATCTCCAGTATCACCAATTGTAGCCAATCTTTACATGGAAGAAATGGAAAAGAGAGCTTTAGACACTTTCAACGGGACACCACCAAGCCACTGGTTTAGATACGTGGATGACACTTTCGTCAAAATCCAGCTAGAGGAAGTGGAAGCTTTCACCAAACACATCAACTCTGTTGACCGTAACATCAAATTCACCAGAGAGGATGCCAAGGACAACAAACTACCCTTTCTGGACTGCCTGGTGAGCATGGAAGGAGATGGAACCCTAAACATTGAAGTGTATAGGAGACCTACTCACACAGACCAGTAACTTCTTTTTGACTCACACCACCCACTGGAACACAAACTCTCAGTCATCAGAACCTTAAAACACCGGGCAGAACATGTCCCTACTAAAACAGATGGGAAGCAAAAAGAACAGAAACACATCAAAGATGCTCTCCCAAACTGTAGATATCCAAACTGGGCTTTTATCAAATCAGCAAGGAAATCCAAAAGACACGCAACAGAAGACAGCGATGGGAAAATTAAACACAAAAACATCACAATCCCTTATGTTGCTGGAGTGTCTGAAAAGCTCAAGAGGATTTTCTCCAAACACAAGATCCCAGAACATTTCAAGCCAAACCAAACCCTTAAACAGAGGCTAGTGCATCCTAAAGATAAAACCCCCAGACCCAATATGAGCGGAGTGGTATATGCGGTTCAGTGCAGCGAGGAATGCTCTGATCTTTATATTGGAGAAACCAAACAACCGCTCCACAGACGCATGGCCCAACACAGAAGAGCGGCCGCCTCTGGACAAGACTCCACAGTACACCTACACCTTGTGGTCAAAGGACATTCTTTGGAGGACCAGAATGTTCACATTTGGATAAAGAGGACAGTTGGTTTGAGAGGAAGGAAGCCATCTATGTTAAGAAAGAAAAAACAACTTTAAACAGAGGGGGGGGGGACTCAGGTTTCAGCTTCCAAAAACTTACAATTCAGTTATAGAGATGATCCCTTCCAGATATCACCCCCCCAATCACAGAGGAACAAAGTACCTCCTCTCTTCAACCAGTTGAACAATCCCCCCTTTAACGACCGACCTTCAGAATCATAGACAGGTTTCAGATAATTACAGGCTAACGACGGAACCAAACGACCCGCTGGTCGGTTTCAATTTGCATGTTTCCAAGCAATACCAAGCAATAGCCTTATCGATATAAAGCCTCAAACTCACTGCGGATCCAGACATTTCATTGAGAAAGCTTCCTGGAGGGGAAGAGAAACGTCTTCAAACCTTGGAAAGCTGCATCCAACTAGCAGGCCAAAGACAGGTCAGGCAAACAGATCAGAACAGGGGCACGCCAAACTCAGAAGTCCAGGAGTGGAAACTAGTTAGGATCAACTAATCAGAAACGAATGACCGAGCTCCTCACCCTATTCCCCTTAGAGATAGGGTGAGGACCTCGGTCATTCGGGAGAGGCTCAGTCAGTTGAGGTGGCATCTTCTTCGGATGCCCCCTGGACGCCCCCCTCGGGAGGTGTTCCAGGCACGTCCCAGCGGGAGGAGGCCCAGGGGACGACCCAGGACACGCTGGAGAGACTGTCTCTCGGCTGGCCTGGAAGCGCCTAGGGCTTCCCCCAACAGAGCTGGAGGAGGTGTCTGCGGAGAGTCTGGGAGTCTCTGCTTAGTCTGCTGCCCCCACGACCCGGTTCCAGATAAAGCGGGAGATGAGTATGAGTAATCAGAAACACAGTGGTTACCCTAGAGAAATCTGACACACGGCTCAAATAATCTGGCCCTGATGGCTGGGAACAAGCAGTTTAAATATGAACTGAACAGGTGGATCTAATACTGTAAGTGAGAATGAAATCTGGGCGGAGCTAGGCAGATGGAAGTAATGAACCAATTATCCAGTCATCAGTGCAAAAATCATCATTAATCGTTAAAGTTCATATATGCAGTCATCAAACTGAATTAAATGTATTCTAAATTGATTGATTTCATGAGTATGTTGCACATTAATCAGCTGTTTATTCCACTCTCAGAAGAGATTTCCCCTCCGCTCTGCAGCAGCAGGGCGCTGCCCTTTGGTAACGATTAGTACGGCTCAAAGCTCTGATCTGTTTTTAAACATCTATCTGCTTAGTTCAGGTTCTGTTTCAAAGGAAATCAGTCATGTTTCTCCTTCCTAAAGCTAACTGTATTTACCTTCAGGCAAGCAGGGGTTAACTGATGCCATATATTAGGCTGCAGCTGAAAGAAAGGGGGGGAGGGGTGTCATGTTTAACCTTTGGTGTAAAAGAGCAAGACATGAGAAAAGAAGCAGCAGGAAATCTATTTCAACATGATTGCTGCCCTGATTTTCTTCTTTCTCCTCTGTGAGTATTTCACATTATTTGCTTTTCTCACATCATCAGACATGATCGTCCAAAATCAGGCAGAATTAATAACTTTTATTGATCTGCGTTTAATCAGGTCCTGTTTTATTGTTGTTGCTCTGCAGACAGATGGAGGCTTTTATCGGCTTTCATCAGTTTAATGATTTTAATATGAACTGAAACATTAATTATATAACTGAGAAATAAAGAACAGGAACCTAGAATAATGTTCAGACCAAACGAGTTTTTATTCCATTCTAAGAAGTCAGAGTTTCCGTTTTATTAAGGTTTATCGTTTCTCTGTCAGATTTACAAGTCAATAAAATTTTGGGATGTTTTTGCTGTTTTCCATTTTCTCTGTTTTTTTTAATAAATTAATGTCCGCAAAAATGTTTTCAGTGAGATTCTGGAAAGAAGTTTAAGGCCTCATGAAGAATTTTATTCCTGTTAGTTTGGATGTAGATTCATAAATTCCTGATTGTTCTTATATGACAGAAAATATGCCCAATATGTCAAAATCAAGTCATATTTAAGGCAAATATCAAACCAAAGCGCCGTATGACGAGATAAAACAAACCAGAAACATTTTTCACTAAAACCTTCAAGGACAGAAATGATGCTACAGTTTTAATAGTTTAATATTTCTGTTGGAAAATAATGAAAAATCTCAGAAGAAATGTTCAGAAGTGATTTTCGGGTTTATAGTAAGAAGCTGATCCAGGAACCAGAACCTTCATCTGTCCTCTGATAACTGTCTCTCCACAGCAGGGACATGATTGGACACCTTGTCCATTCTACCTGTGTTACTACGTCCTCTGAATTAACCAATTAACCAATAAATATACTTTACCTCCAATGTGATGTTTCTACAACAAAAACAGTCTGATTTTAAACCCGACTAGAGCCAGAAGTTGATGGTGCGAGTCCGTCCATCTGCCTCTTTATGTCGGGGCCACAGCAGCAAGTCGTTACAAGCTGCAAACAGGTTTGGTTTTTCTAAAAGAGGCCATAAAAGAAATGACTGAAAGGAGAAAACCTTCCTTCAGTGTTGAGCTGTAGATGTTTGGCTTGATGGACCTGCAGAAGAAACAGGCAGCAGCAGATAAACAGACATCCAGGCTTCACAGCAGTTCATGGAATTCTGACTGTTTGGGAAAAACACATTTTAATGATAATAAATGAATCAAAGACAATAATAGAAACTAAATTAAAAAATCACATTGATTTAAAATTGGGATCAAACTAGAATAACAGAATCTGTCTTCACACCATTTTTTATTAATTAGTATTTATTTGATCTTCTGAATATAATCAGTTGTCACTGATTTTATAACTAGTTACAATCTGTGGAATAGACTTAGACTTAGACTTAGACTTGACTTTATTAATCCCTTGGGATTACTCCCTTCGGGAAATTGTATTTCCAGTAGCAGGAAAAAAATTACACATACAAGAAAATAGAGGATGTTTAGACACAGTATATACAATAGAAAAATAAAATCAATTAAATAAGATGTAGGAAGATGTATTGGGGGATGAGGATAGACAAATAAATACAGAGGGCTATAGCAAAACAATGACTTAAATTAGCAGTTATGTAGCGTATTGATAAACAACATTTAAAAGTTAAAGCTTCCCCTGCTCCGTGTTGGGCAGACTGCAGGCCACTGCTTCAGTGGAAACTGGGCCGAGTTCATGGTCACCGAGCTAACCCAGACCTCCTGCTAACCCTGTGGTTTCTGTCAGCAGGCACTGATCCACCATGTTGTTCTCCTCTGCAGCTCTGCAGGCCACAAACAGCCCTTCTGTTGATGCTCTGAAACGTCTCCATAGAGCAGCTGGAGAAGACGTCTCAGCTGCATGTGGCATGTCGTTCTCTGGATCCTGGAAGATCTTCTGCAGGGAAAACTGTGAAAGGGGAAACATTCTGATCCAAACCAGAGAGAACAAAGCTCAAACAGAACGATACAGCATTGAATACCTTAAAGAGTTTTCATCAGACATTTACGTTTTCTATGTGAAGATCTCCAAACTAAAGCCGTCTGACTCAGGACTGTACAGATGTGGTTTGGGCGACTCTTCATCCGCCATGATCTACCAGGAGTTCAGACTCATCATTGCAGAAGGTCAGTTTCTGTTAAAGCTGCTGAGATGTTTGTCTGAAGGACGGAGGGAACATTTTACAGCAAATAATTATTGTTATTCATTTTATACACAGGGGCGGATTCAGGAAATATGGGGCCCTAGAAAAAGACAGGCAGGGGGCCCCTCTGAATGGAGAAGACAACACATAAAATAGACCCATTTTACAGATAGAAAATGTTAATAGAATAGACATCCATTATCTGTTCTAGGTTGTGTCCCTCTCTTCTTGTCCCTTTTCTTCTTGTTTTCCTCTCTATGTTTTGTACTCAGCTGACTTTTCATGCTGTCTCTAAAGGAATGAAAGATTTTTTCCAAGCACTAAGCTCAAGCTTACCACTGAGCTGCTTTTAGATGTTGTCTCCAAAGTCTCCAGTAGCAGGAAAAAAAGTTGCTACATTTGGCGCTAGGCACTTTTTTTAAGTTAAAGTGCTAGAGGGGTCTGAAAAGTCGCTAGCTGAGACACACAGTTACCGTGTATGTGACCTTCATTGTTCTGAATTTCCCTTGAAATATATAATACTGGTAGCCTGCTTCCACTTAGCCTGCCTCAAATAAAAAGTTTCCATTAATTTTTTTTAAAAACTTTGTTTCGCAAGTCAGTTTGGCTTTTTTTTTCGTATTGCCGTGCAGAAAAATTGCCGCTGCTGGAAGATCTAAAGGTCTGAATAATGTTCTATATAACGTCATGGTAACTTAACTTTTTCAATAAATGAACCAAGTATTTTACAGGTTCAAAGAAACACAAAATCTGCTTTTTATTCATTCCACTGGTCGTCTGTTTGATCAAATAGAAATAGAGGCCTGCCTCTAATTCTGGCCTCCTTCCAATAATGGCCTGGACCAAGATGCACCTGAGTGAAATAAAGGCCCCGTCCTTTATTAGAGGATTTACGGTAATATTATACACATTCTGATGGATCCTTCTGCCACTAAAGAGTGCTACTGCTGCTGATGGTGAAACGTATTCACTTCCTGTTTGGACTGTTGAACAAAGTTGTTGCTGTCCACACTATCTCCGTCTGAATTAAGTTGTTTTTTCTGTGATATCTCTGTATCTAACAGTGATGGGAGTAACAGCGTTATTAACGCCCACGACCAAAATCTAATAAATTAGCAAAAGATTCCCAAAGGAGTAAATCATGATAATCTAATAAAAATGAAAATAACTCCAATTGGGGAAAAAGTTAAAATGATTAAATGCGGTCTGTTTAACATAAGATCGCTTTCCTCTAAAAGTCTGCTAGTTAATGACTTGATTTGTGATAATCACATTGACTTGTTTTGCCTTACAGAAACCTGGCTGCAGCAAGAGGATTATGTGAGCATAAACGAGGCAACTCCTTCAAGCTATTTAAATTTTCACATCCCCAGAAGTTCTGGGCGAGGAGGAGGAGTAGCAACAATCTTCCAGTCTGACTTACTGATTACTCCCAAAACAGTTAATACCTACAACTCTTTGATCATTTAACCCTTAATTTCCTTCATCCAAATTTCAAGGCAAGAAAACCTCTTCTTTTTGTAACTTTGTATCGTCCACCAGGTCCTTTCTCTGAATTTTTAGATGAGTTTTCAGAGTTCCTTTCTGATTTGGTATTAAATACTGACAGGGTCATCATAGTGGGAGATTTTAACATCCATGCTGACATTGAAGGCGATAGCTTAAGAGCAGCCTTTAATACTATCTTAGACACTTTTGGCTTTGTTCAAAATGTGAATAGTCCCACGCATTCTCATCTTCATACTTTGGATCTTGTGCTGACATACGGCATAGAATGTGAAGAAATAACAGTATTTCCTCACAACCCTGTCCTCTCTGACCACTTTCTAATAACCTTCAGGATTACTTTAACAGAGTTCTCCTCCCCCAAAAGAAGGTTACATTTTAGTAGATCTTTATCAGATAGAGCAGTTATACATTTTAAAGAATCTGCTTCACTTTCTCTCTCCTCTGTGTCGCTGAGCAGTGCTGCAGAGTGCAAAAGCATAGCTTATTCCCCTTCACAGGTTGATGATTTTGTTGATGGGGTTGCTAGTTCTCTGCGTATTGCCTTAGACAACGCAGCTCCCTTGAAAATGAAAACCGTTAAAAATAGAAAGCTTGCTCCTTGTTTTAATGCAGAGCTGCGTACTTTGAAGCAAAATGCTAGGAAACTGGAGAGAAAATATCGCTCCACAGGCCTGCAGGAGTCCTTCCTAGTCTGGAAAAATTATTTACTGCTGTATAAGAGGACCCTTTGTAAAGCAAGAGCAGCATACTTCTCCTCATTAATAGAGGAGAATAAGAATAGTCCTAGATTTCTTTTTAATCCAGTTGCCAAACTCACCCAGAGCCATAGCTCTGTTGAACCGTCCATTCCACCTGCTCTTAGCAGCAATGATTTTATGGGATTCTTTATAAATAAGATTGATCTTATTAAAAATAAGATCATAAGCACTCCTCTATCCGTGATTGTACCTGAGGTAGTCATGGAATCTGAACCGGGTTTAGACTGCTTTGATCCAGTTGAACTTTCTGAATTAGCAAAATTATTGTCTTCATCTCAGCCTTCAACTTGTATGTTAGATCCAGTTCCAACCAGGTTATTTAAGGAGGTATTCCCTTTGATCTCCTCCTCCATTTTAGATGTGATTAATCTATCTCTGTTACAGGGATATGTACCTAAAGCTTTTAAGGTTGCTGTAATTAAACCTCTGCTTAAGAAACCGTCTCTTGACCCAGATGACTTGGTCAATTATAGACCTATATCCAATCTTCCTTTCTTATCCAAAATTCTTGAGAAAGTAGTTGCCAAACAAGTTTGCGATCACTTACACCATAATGAACTTTTTGAAGAGTTTCAGTCTGGCTTTAGAGCTCATCATAGCACTGAAACAGCTCTGGTGAAAGTCACTAATGATATTCTCATGGCCTCAGATAATGGACTTGTATCTGTCCTCGTCCTGTTGGATCTCAGTGCTGCATTTGATACAGTTGATCATAATATTCTTTTAGAAAGACTTGAATATTTTGTTGGAATTAAAGGAACAGCACTAGACTGGTTTAAATCTGATCTATCTGATCGATTTTAGTTTGTTCATGTTAATGACAGATCTTCCTCATGCTCAAAGGTTACCTGTGGAGTACCACAGGGATCGGTGCTAGGACCAATTCTCTTTACTTTATACATGCTCCCAATCGGTAGAGTTATTAGACAGCATGGGATTAATTTTCACTGTTATGCTGATGATACCCAGCTATATCTGTCTATAATCCAGATGAAGCTAACCCATTACATAGATTACAGGCATGTCTGAAGACAGAAAAACCTGGATGACTCTTAACTTTCTGCTTCTGAATGCAGACAAAACAGAAGTTATAGTCTTTGGACCAGAGTCTCTGAAAAAGAAGCTGATTAGCCAGTCACTTCATTTGGATGGGATTAAACTGATTTCAGATAATAAAGTAAAAAATCTTGGTGTTATTTTTGATCAGGACCTGTCATTTAAATCCCATATCAAAGAGGTTTCTAGAATTTCCTTCTTTCATCTGAGGAATATTGCAAAAATGAGCAATCTCCTGTCCAGGGGTGATGCTGAGAAACTAGTCCATGCATTTGTTACTTCAAGGCTGGACTATTGTAATTCTTTACTATCAGGAAGTCCACAAACTGTAGTTAAAAGCCTTCAGCTGATCCAAAATGCTGCAGCCAGAGTTCTGATGAAAATGAAAAAGAGAGATCATATCTCTCCTATCCTGGCTTCTCTTCATTGGCTTCCTGTTGAATCCAGAATAGAATTTAAAATCCTCCTTCTCACATATAAAGCCTTAAATGGCCAAGCTCCATCTGATATCAGAGATCTGATTGTTCCTTATGTTCCTAACAGAGCACTTCGCTCTCAATCTGCAGGTTTACTAGTGGTTCCTAGAATTTCTAAAAGTAGATTGGGAGGCAGATCTTTTAGTTATCAGGCTCCTCTCCTGTGGAACCAACTACCAGTTTTAGTCCGTGAGGCAGACACCCTGTCTACTTTTAAGGCTAGGCTTAAAACTTTCCTTTTTGATAAAGCTTATAGTTAGAGTGGCTCAGATTATCCTGAGCTATCTCTATAGTTCTGCTGCTATAGGCTTAGACTGCTGGAGGACATAGGGACCCCTTTTTCATCATTCTGCTTCATTCTATCTCTATTCTCCCACTCTGCAGAATCTGTTAGTTCAATCTCTAACGTTCTGCTCTCTCTGCTTTTCCTCATAGTAGCTTCATCTGGTCTGTTCCTGTTTGGCTGTGACTCCATCCTGGAGAGAAATATCAGCTGTGCTGCTGCCATCAACACCTTTGTTTCTAGATGTTGGAGCTTGGCCTGTTTTCCAGTGTAGTCCTGTTTCTCTGACTGTGACTAACTGGATGTGCTCTCTTCATCCTCTGACATGGGAGCTGGCTCGGAGCTCGTCTGCCTGGCTGTGTGTTTCCTGGACGGGGCCGCCTGTGGAGCTGGTTGACAGTTGCCTTTTGTATCTATGCTTCTTTTTCTATGTCTGCTTCTGTCTCCTTGAACCCCAGTGGGCCTCAGCAGATGGCCGCTCACACTGAGGCTGCATGGGACTATGAATATGCATTAATAACTCAAAAGTATCTGAATAAAGAGGAAGTATTAACAGAATCTGGATCAGTGGTGTTGGGGCAATAGGACTTGTCTTCAGACTGCAGGGTACTGGTCCTTCAGGACTGGATCTGGGTCTGATTTAATCCACCCAATGGTGTCCGTGCTTGGTTGACCTGCTGGGAGGTGAACCTCCATCAGCTCCTCTGCAGCTTCTGACAGGTTCTCCTCCTTGATTTAGTTCACACTATAATCAGATTAACAGTAAAAAACTGAACTCTTAAACGACAAATCAACAAACATCTCAGGTCAGTTCTGCGATTATGATTTAAAGAAAACATGATTTCATGATAAAAAAAAAAAACAATGTCAACTTTATTGGAATTGAGTATAATGACCAACAAGTGATTATCCTATTTTCCCAAATCTGCCACTTTTATATTTAGAAGTTATTTTTCTACTGAAGCTGCGTGTGATTGGTCAACAGAGCAGTCATTTGCTGGCTGCCAGGCTGTTTTGGTTAATGGGGTCTGTTACTGCCTGTTTCTAGACCATAAAGGTGATTAAAAAGGGGAATTTAAGAAGAATAATGAACCAGACTCTTTTATCTGTCCTATGGCTGATTGTTGCTTCAAAAGCTAGACTAGAAAATAAAAACTGTATCGATTTCACTTCATTGGATTTCAGTATTTGAAGTAGTTTATTTTACAGGGAAAGTTCACAGTTTCGGTTTAGGAATATCATTTCTACCATATATATTAGGCACTGATATATATGATAATAATACCTTTTAATACTAAAGAGGGAAAAATACTGCTAATTTTTCAGCGAATTATGGAAGCTACATCTCTCAACACAACCCACAGCATAATGCTGCACCAAACTTTACCAAACTTCATCATGTCTCCATCTTCCATCTTTCTCTGCATTTTCAGACTCTTCAGCCTCCGGTTCAGATTCAGCTCATTTAACCTCCACACCAGCAGCACCACTGAGCTCCAACTACAGTCTCACACCTTCAGCTTCCACTGAAACCACTAATCAGTCGGTTCTGGTCCGGCAGAGGCCAACATCTGAAGGTACATCTAGTCCTCAAAGTCCTGAATCCCCTCCCCGCTGTGTGCCGCCTCTGTTTGAGTAGAAATGGCGTCTGTCTGCAGAAACAAACTCCTCCCCATGCTTTGTGTCCAACATGTTCTCTAGAAATGTCCACAGAGCTTCTGCTGGTTGCAGCTCTGACTCTGACCCTCTCTGGCATCCTGCTATCTGGGGCTTTGCTGGTTCTCTGCAGAAAAAGATGCCACAAACATCTGGAAGGTAAACAACAGGAAGCACAGATCATTTTGTGGTTTGGGGGTAAAAACACAGAGAAGAAGGTGAAAGATCAGCAGCAGCGCCAGCAACAAGGAGTCACAGAGAGGCTGTGTGAACAGGGGCTGGTAAAGGAGGAACAGCAAACAGGACAGGAAACCAGACTGAACCAGATTCCTGCAGCCGCTGTGTCACCAAAGTCTGCAGCTCTGTGGCAGAGAGAAGCTGTTAGCTGCTGGAGGCTCATCCAGCCGCTGACACTGAGCTCAGAGCAGCTGGGCTGCCGACCGCACTCACCCAGCTGACAGTCATTCAGAAACCAGGATTTCTGATTGGCTCCTGGTAACATGATCACCATGATCGTCTCCTGGCCCTCAAAGTTCAGTCCTGAGAACCGTGCAGGATGACTCAGACCATCTGCTCTATGTGCTTGGTTCTCAGCTCGGTGCAGTGCACCCCCCCCCCCCTGCCAGTAACTGCCACACATATAATGCTGGGTTTGAAGCGATGCACTGGGTTCACCACTTCCTATGTGAAAGCAGACAAAGGTGACCTTCAGTCTGCGAAAACAGAACCACCTCTTCATGGTGATAATAAATTAATTTTATATTCTGGCAAACTCCATCCACCTCTCATCAAGGTGTCTGATGAAAAACAGCCCCATATCATGAGGCTGCCACTACCATGCTTCATCATAAGAATGATGAGTTCTGCACAACGGCATCAGGTCTAAGAAGGCTGGGAGAATCAAAGTGCTGATAAAGTATTAAGACAGGGAATACTTATGGAAATATTATCTCTTGTTTTTCCTGTTCTTGTTGATAGATTTGCATCATTTAAGTCTCAGTGACAGGACTGAATGATGCCATATTTGGATATGTATTATTCTAGAAATGGTGATGTCTAACCTTTATCTCTTATTTATACATCTAGGTATGAATTCTAGAGGAGGACCACGCAGAAATGATCAGCAGGTACTTGTTTTATCTTAAAGGATTTCTGATTAAAGACAACTAAAAATCAGATATTATCGCTACAAACCTTCGGTCACTATTGGCCTAGTCTGGCCAGCCAGACTGACTAAAGCAAGGTTTATACTTTATGTGTCTGTATTGTTTCTCTCGTATTCCATGCGAGAAACTAACCTGACTCCGCTGGAAACCTTCCGTTGAAGTAATTTTGGGAAGGGGCGAAAATACTGGTTAGCTGATTGGCCTATGTTGGTGATAGACGGGCCAAATAAACCAATCAGATCAACGAAGCATATGACGTACTAACAGAGCGACGACGAAGAGGAGCCAATTGATAGATCAAACTCTTGCCGAAACCAGTCGGGAGAAGAGCAAAAACATCTTTTCCTCTGAGAAAAGCCTCCAGAGCAGTGTTTTGCTCTTCTTTCAATGAAGAAATACTCTGTAATTCCGATAAAACTTGCTCCATAGCCACGCTAACGCTAGTTTCATCGGCTGAAGCCGCCATGTTCTTTAGACTGAACCGTCGCGCTACTCGTTGCGTCACACCTCAACCCGCCTCAAAGCCAACGCTGATTGGACGTTCGTTTGGTGAACGTCTCCAGACTGATCTGCGAGTGAAATCTTGAAAGCTCGCGAGATCAGGATGGTCTCACGAGGCTAGCGAGAAACAGCTCCTGCCTGCGAAGGTTCGCAAATGTAAAGATCTAAAGACATCCTGTGATTTAGCTTGTTGTGGTTAAAAAAAATCTATGTCCTATTAATCTCTTTTACATGTACTTATGTAAGTATATATACAGATGTATGATTGCTGAGTTTTGTTCTGCCTCAGAGCTCCAAGGTCACAACATGCCTAAGATGAAGGGGGCTGTTTATGCTGTTGGGGGTGTTTGGCTCTTCCTGATGTTTTTATGAGGTAGTTCCTAAAACATTTACATTCTTTCTTGTGCTGTTTGTTTTTTGCTTTAGGTAGATATTTGCTTTGATTGTGACACAAACTTCAGCATTTCCATTGTTGTAACTAAGGGAGACGAACTGGCCAGATCAGAACAGGGCTGATTACTCTGCAATAAGGGCTGGATGATGTCCTGTTCTCGCTTTGCAAAGATGAAATAAAATGCTAACTGAGTGGAATCCATCTATCTCTGTTTATTTAACTACAGTAAATAGTTGAATACTTTTTCCCCTCGACAGTTTAATCAACATCACCGCTATGAACAGATTGTGGAAAAAACTTGTGGAAAGAAATGATGACACAAAGAGGCTTTGGAAAAGAATCATTTTCTGCATGGATTGTTCGTGCGTTTAGCATAACGAGCCCTTTGGGGCCCCATGAAACACATTGATATTGGGCCCTAACTCCAAAAAAATGTTTGCAAGCTTGAAACCTTCAATAAAGATGAACTGAGGAGTAATATTTACATTTGCAGTTTAAATGTTATTGTAAAATTGTGACAAAGGAAAATTATGAGAACGTGAAAAAGTTATATACACATTAATTTAATAATAATAATTAACAATTGAACTTTATAAACTCACACTGCAGAAATTCCCTCTGTGCATTTAACCCTTGGGGAGCAGAGGGCTGCCATTGTGCGGCACCCGGGGAGCAGTTTAGGGTCTTGCTCAGGGACCCAGAGTGCAGGGTGCGGGGATCGAACCGGTTACTTGTAACCTTCCAAGAACACAAACGCACTGCTCTAACCACTAGGCCAACACTCGCCAAAACTTCAAACTTTACATTTACATCCTATCAAAATAATAACAGCTTATTTAAAACAAAGAACTGCTTAAATTGGAGGCAACGTCTTTCTGGAGACACGGAGGAGTGCAAGTTTTCTCTTTAGAAAACACCCAAAGTTTACTAAGTGCTCCCATTTCAAGCTGTTTTGATTAGTTTTTAATATTCTACCCTGGTAGTTTGCGATGGATTACCTTTGTTATATTTTATATTCCATTTTCTGTTTTGTTTTGAAACGGTTTAAACTTTGGTTCTTGTCAGTTGTTTTTTATCTTTATAAATATGCTGCTTGGAGACATAAATTCCTGAGGGGGAAATGAGTTCTACCTCAGATCAAATCTGTTTAATGATTATATGATTGGTTTTCTCTGGGTTTTTATCTCTTTTTCAGAAAAAGTTCATGTCTAACCTTTTATCTGTCATTTAAATGCCTCCAGGTAGCAGGGCTAGAAGAGGCTGAATTGCACATAAGGTACCGAATCAGTGATTTGGTTTAAGCTGAAGGTTTGCTGAGGAAATGCAATTAGAGATCATTTTTATTTTGCTTTGTTTTTTTTTTAGGACTCTGTACAGTTGAAAATCTCTCTGTGGATTGGACCAGAACACCAAACCTATTACCGGAAACAATCTTTGAGACTGAAGAACTAAGGAAATCTACCACATCATGGATTTAGTTTCTGCATCTCATGGATGGTTTTGTTCACTGAACACGCTGGATAAAAATGGAAGATGATCGGTGCAGGAATTTAATAAATAATAATTTCAATTCAATATTTCTGGCCCCTAAAAATGAAAAAGAGGTTTTGAGTATAATTAAAAAATGTAAAAACAAAAAGTCACATGACATAGATGACTTAGACATGAGATTGGTTCGAGGGGTGGCAGAAGAAATCATTAAACCATTTACACATATTTGCAATCTATCCTTCCAAAATGGAGTATTTCCCAACAGAATGAAAAATGCTAAAGTAATCCCACTCTTCAAATCTGGAAATAAGAATACTTTCACCAACTTTCGTCCGGTTTCACTCTTGCCACAGTTTTCTATAATCGTAGAAAAATTATTTGATTGTCGACTTCGCAGATTTATAGAACAAAACAAATTGTTAGCCGAAAGCCAGTATGGGTTCAGACAAAACAGATCCACATCACTTGCAATAATCGATTTAACTGAAAGCATTACAGATAGCATTGATAAAGGTAAATTTGTTTTGGGAATTTTTATTGATTTACAGAAGGCATTCGACACCATCGATCAGTTCACTATTAAAAAAGCTGGAAACGCATTAGAGGGTTATCTAACGAGTGGTTACAGAGCTTTTTGGAGGATAGAAAGCAAATTATACAGTTTGGACAACATAAATCTGGGCATAACGTGTGGAGTACCGCAGGGCACCATTTTGGGTCCAACGTTATTTATTATGTACATAAATGATATTTGGAATGTGTCTTCTGTTATGAAGGTTGTACTTTTCGCCAGAGATGGGAAGTAACGAAGTACAAATACTTCGTTACTGTACTCAAGTAGATTTTTCTGATATTTTTACTTTACTTTACTACTTATTTTTATAGCGACTTTTTACTTCTACTCCTTACATTTTTACACAAATATCTGTACTTTCTACTCCTTACATTTTAAAAAATTGACTCGTTACTTTAGTTTTGAATCATTTCAATGGAGTTACCGTTATTATTTTTCACGTCATCAATACCAAATTCAATCTAATTGGATGGGAATCTACGTTGCATTTGACGCACCACTACAAGATGAATCGACAGATTCGGCGGTATTCATTGGCGGCGAATCATTGCAGCTTGGTGGCGGTGGCGTTAGCATAGTAGCATGGACGACGAGATGATTGAAAATGAACACAACGGAGATCTAGTCCTATTGGCAGACATCCATTTAAAATGTAGGCAACGGCATGAAAAAAGTTGTTTCTACTTTTACTTTTATACTTTAAGTAAATTTACAAGCCTGTACTTTGTTACTTTTACTTGAGTAAAGAAGTTTAATCAGTACTTCCACTTTTACCAGAGTATTTTTTAACACAAGTATCTGTACTTTTACTCAAGTACGGAAAGTGAGTACTTTTGCCATCTCTGATTATTTGCGCACAAAAGTTGCTAAATGTGTGGGAGTGATGAACTGAGTCACTTCCTCAACCAAAGTGCATTGTTCCTTGTGTATCGCTCACTTGTCATGTCGTATTTGAATTATTGTATCGAGGTTTGGGGAAACAATTTTAAGACCGATCTTCAGCCCCTGGTTACGCTGCAAAAAAGAGCCATTCGAATCGTTCATAAAGTAAATTATTTACATCCCACAAATCTTTTGTTTCTACAATCCTCCAATTTAAAATTGTTTGATCTTGTAAACTTAAGAACTGCGCAAATAATGTTCAGAGCGTCAACTGGCTCTCTTCCAGAAAATCTCTTAAAACTCTTTCAGGAGCGGGAGGCACTTCGCACTTATAATCTTAGAGGCGAAAACCGATTCTACCAACCAAAAGTAAGAACTACCTTAAAATCAACGTGCATCTCAAGTCGTGGTGTCGCCCTCTGGAATAGTTTAGCGGAGGAACAAAAGTGTTGTGAAAATATAAACTGTTTCAAAAAAATATTTAAGCGGGATGTCCTGAGAAAATACCTGGAAGAGAGTGAGTGATGTTCTATGAGGGTGGGGTGGTGTGGGGGGGGGTTGCAGGGACGGGGAGCGTTGGGCCGGTGTGTTGACTTGTATGCATGAGTGTGGATGGGTTGTTGGTCTTGTCGTTTGCAGGAGTGTCCTTGGGATGAGCGGGAGGGGATCGGACATGTAGAAGCTTTTGCTTCTTCCATCCCCTTTTCAAGCCATGCATGTATTGTTTGTATTGTAAAATATGTGCAGGTTTGAAATAAACTTTTTGAAATGAAAATGAAAAATGAAATGGAAAAGCTATTAATTAATGAATCTGAGTCACTGAGAAAAAGGAATCAAAAAAGGTTTTTGTTTTAGTTTACAGTTAACATCACATGCTGGTATTTTTATTTCTTTTAACTGTGATTCATGCTTTATTTTGTTTTGTTTTAAAACAGTTTAAAACGGGGATCATTGTATGTTTTCTTAAAGTTTTTTTTCCTATTATCTTTCTGTTATTGATGAAGAAAAAATTAAAGCTGGGATGAAGGTTCAGGTGTGCTGGTTTTGATTGGAGGAGGGTTTCAACGTTTCCTCCATTAGCCAGTGTTAGAGGGAACGTGATGCGGCAGTGGGTAGCACCGCCGCCTTGCAGCAGGAAGGTTCTCGGTTCGATTCCCGGTCCAGGGTCTTTCTGCATGGACTTAGCATGTTCTCTCTGACCATGCCTGGGTTCTCTCCGGGTACTCCAGCTTCCTCCCACAGTCCAAAAACATGACTGTTAGGTTAACTGGCTTCTCTAAATTCTCCTTAGTTGTGAGAGAATGGTTGTTTGTTTCTGTGTTTCCCTGCGATGGTCTGGCGACCTGTCCAGGGTGGACCCCGCCTCTCTGTCCAGGGTGGGCCCCGCCTCTCTGTCCAGGGTGGGCCCCGCCTCTCTGTCCAGGGTGGACCCCGCCTCTCTGTCCAGGGTGGGCCCCGCCTCTCTGTCCAGGGTGGACCCCGCCTCTCTGTCCAGGGTGGGCCCCGCCTCTCTGTCCAGGGTGGGACCCCGCCTCTCTGTCCAGGGTGGGCCCCGCCTCTCTGTCCAGGGTGGGCCCCGCCTCTCTGTCCAGGGTGGGCCCCGCCTCTCTGTCCAGGGTGGGCCCCGCCTCTCTGTCCAGGGTGGGCCCCGCCTCTCTGTCCAGGGTGGGCCCCGCCTCTCTGTCCAGGGTGGGCCCCGCCTCTCTGTCCAGGGTGGACCCCGCCTCTCTGTCCAGGATGGACCCCGCCTCTCACCCGTAGACAGCTGGAGATAGACACCAGCACCCCTCGCCACCCCAGCAGGGATAAGAGTGATAGAAAATGGATGGATGGACAGCTTCCTGGATGGGAAGGGAAATTTGATGGGAAGGGAAATTTGAAAAAGTTAAAAAACAAGTGCTTGTTTTTTAACTTTTTTAGAATTGCTATGAATCTTCACCAACACATAAATCACCTGTTAGCTTCAGAATATTGTCAGCCTTCAGACACAGTTTCTCACTTTAAATCTTCTAGGAGTTCCTCATATCTGCAGGACAGGTTTTGACCTGTTGCATCTGAGTAAAGTTTCATCCAAAAGCAGGTCAACCTCTCCAGTTCTACAACCTTCATACCAGGAAGCAGCCATCCAGTTCTAACACCAGGGGGCAGCATTGTAGCAGAAACTTCTTGTTTAAAAGCATAATTTCTAGAACTTATTTAGGGCAAAATTTTATTGTCAATGAATTTCACTCACTATAAGATCATCAGTTTTAATCTCCACTGGTTGATTCAGACGGCAGTGACCTGGTTTAGAGCAGAAGCATAAATCTATTAAATGTGAAGAGAACTAGAACTATTCATGAAGGAAGTCTTACATATCCCGCCTTAACTGCAACATATGCAGTTATAACGCAGTTAGAACAAGTTAAACAGTACATTTCTCCACAGTGCGATCAATAAAGTTTATCATTCAATCAATTCATTTCCAAAGGCCAACGATGCTGACGAAGCGGAAAGGTATGTAAGCCTGTTGGTCTCATCTTCCTTTGCTGCGCTTTAACAACGTCACTAGTTCTGCTGTAGCTCCCAGATCTGCTGGGTCCTGCTTCATACCAGTGGCGTTACGCTACACAATTGCTTTTTATCTTTTATTTTTATTTATTTTTTCTCTTTTTTTCTCTTTATTATATTGTGTAGTTGGATGTGTGTATATATTATATAAAACTGTAACTGGAGCGTGTAACAAAAGTAATTTCCCTCTGGGATTATTAAAGTATTTCTGATTCTGATTGACGGAACGTTGCCACATGATGTAAACATTGTGGTTCCCATGACAACAATAATATCATCACGCAGCATCATAGCGTGTTTAATGACTGACTGATAACATAACTGAAGAAAAATCAGTTTCTGGTGAACAAAGTAACTGTTAGACCGTGATATAAAGAGCTGAGTAGCGCTGTGGCTAACTGGGCTCAGTAGCTAACAGGTTAGCCTCTTTTAGCTCGGTCAGTTAGCCATATTAAGATACACTACTTTTAACCAGTGTTGCCAACTCAGTGACTTTGTCGCTATATTTAGCAACTTTTCAGACCCCTCCAGCGACTATTTTTCAAAAAAGCGACTAGCGACAAATCTGGCGACTTTTTACGGTGTCACTGGCGGCTTTTGGAGACTCTTAAGTGAAAGCATGTATCGTTCCTACTCTTGTCCTCCAGCGGCAGTGAGTAAAAACACCATTATATAGTGTTTTTACTCACTTTTTGTCTTTCTATAACGACATTATTTCTCCCACAGCATCAATAACATGCACATCACTTCCCGTGGCAGATTATGCAAATTAGGCGATGACGTCATTTAACGACTTCTAGCGACTTTTATCACAGCCAATAGCTACTTTCCTTACTGAGGAGTTGGCAACACTGCTTTTAACTTTCTGTCAACAACAATCTTTCGGTTTCTATAAGTAGAATAACTTTTTTTCTCAGTCTAAAATCTCTATGAAAGTCATTTTTTGGGATTTTCCATCTGTCGTCCTCTGCCCTCAGATCTTGTTAAATGGCAGAGCTCAGTCTTATAAGGCAGGACTTTCCTTCCAGGCTGACAATGACTGTTTTCTACTTTCAACTACTTTAGATCAATGATTAAATGTTAAATAATAGCAAATACAGGGAATAATATGTTCAGACTCAAGAAGAAATTTGATCCTTAAAGTCGTAGGGAAGCGGCTGTTCCAACCATTTCATTCCCGAATTCTCCCGAGTGGTGCCCGACTTTACAGCAGTGAATAAAGTGAAAGTGATTGGTCGATTATCTAGGGGGCGGGATTGTTGTGGCAGAAGGTTCGCAAGCAAGTTTGGTTGTGGCTGGTTTGTCTGAAGCATCTTGCTAACCAGTTAGCATCTTAGTGCTAGCAGGTTCCCAATGGGAAATTCCATTGGGACCAAGTAGCACTAAATTGGTGACTTAGAAACGACGCTGTCAAGGAACGCTATGGACAGCGGAAACATGCAAGAGGAGGAGAGTTTAGTGTCAGAGGTCGTGGATGAGTCTCCTCCGTCATCCATTTTTTATTTAGAGGAGGAAAGCGGGGACGAAGATGTTGTGGAAGAGGACGCCAGGGCGGCAGAAGCTTGGTTTGGTGTAGAAGGCTTCCAGCCGTACATGTTTGAGCCCTTGCCTCGCAACGCTGCCAGTTCTGTTAGCTCTACGCCTGCCGAAGACACAGACGTCCATCCCCGTGGACACTGGGACGCAACTCAATGGGAAAGGAAAGGACTCTGGTTTCAACCGTTGCGTATATTAGCTGCGACACATGAATCAAGATGCTATGACCGAAAAAACACAGATTTTAAGTCGGGATTTTTAAATAAATAAATTTTTTTTAAATAAAAATGTTCTAAATTTTGGAACAATATTGTCTGATAAAGAGAACATTTATATACATGTATAAGTCAGAATGCTTTGACATTTAAATATGATTTCCCTTTAACTTTATGAAACGGTGCAATACAGTTTGTTCGAGTGGAGTTGCCATATATTGACGTCATAAATGGGGCGGGGCCCAAAGCACATCTGGTCCCTACAGCAGCACTGCAAAGAATTGCAATTGTGTTTTAGTTCTGTTTTATAACTATTATCTACTCTGCTGTGTGAATTTGTATTTTGTATTTTCTTCTGGTATGTTGCACTGTTGCAGGAAGTTAAATGGGTTTATCTGAATATGTCTAGAATTGCGCTCTTAAGAATTTGCGCCATTAAAAGCTGTGCTGTTGAAATGTAGAACTACCTCTACAGCCTCTGGATTTGACAGAAAATAAAGATGGCTCTTGATATATATTATTAATTAGAATACAAATCTGTGTTTATTGTTATACAAATAAATATATTAATGAATTTAGATATTTTACAAATATATTTAAAATGTATTGTGCCATATATTGAATGTATACATAAATTATTTTTGTTTTATATAATGTTATAAATTATATTCTACCATATGTTTTCATTCATTTATGCTTCCATATAGTCGCCCATAAACATACATGTGACACTATATATATTTACATTTATTAACCACACATTTTCTATGTAAATTGCAATACATGAGGGTGGATATTTATAAATATAAAATAAAATTTTTTGGGGGGTATAAAAACACGTGCATTATATATTACAATATACGGCAAAAGCGGCAATCATTTGTATATTTTGCCATTTATTACATGAATATATCATGTATTGCATAATATATGTTTCATCCATATAAATTCTGTGTATTAACACTAGGGCTGCAACTAACGATTATTTTAAAAATCGATGAATCGGCCGATTATTTTTTCGATTAATCGATGAATCGGACAAAAACTATTTTTTATATTAACCTCTTTATTCCAAAATAAACATTTTAGACAGAACAAACAAGCACACAAGTACAGTGTAAGTGCCAGAATTGACAAGATTGAATACGTGTATTTCCACTAGTAGCCTCTAGGTGGCAATAGCGATCTTTGTTGTAGGTAATTTCTGAGTTGGAAGGTCTGGCACGTCAGGCACGTTCAGGAAGCAAGCCACTAGGTGTTTGATGTGACGGAGCTTCACCTTTTCTGACCGCAGTTTTAGGTCTAAAGAATTAAGAACATGAACATAAGTTAAAAGAATTAGTTTATAAGCATTTTTCAGTTTTTGTACCGTTTTATT